TCTGCAGGTTTGCCTCTTCCTCCTTTTTGTTTTCTTACAATTTACCTGTTGAAGTAGCCAGGCTGTGGGGCCCGTAGAGTTTCCTGGGTTTTGCCGATCGGACGTTGGTGGGGCAGTGTGACATGCTCCTGCCCTCTGGAGGTCCTGGCGCCTTTTATCACACCAAACACAATGTCTGCTATCACAGAAGGAGCTCAGTGACCATTTTGTAATTGAAGTGGATGGGTATGTGGGAACTTGGGTACACGATTCATTCATAATGGAGATACCACATGCCCTGTCCAAATTTCCAAAGCCGCTGGTGACTTTGAAAGAACCGACTTCTAGGAAAGCCTTATGTTTACATGAAGTATGCATTGCAGTTCTACCAACTCACTTGGTTTTCTCTCTCATGCATCTTGAGGACCTCGGATCCAAGATCGAATCCCAGGATTTGCCTTACGCTCCGGGTTATACTAAAATTAGTTGTGCAGCTTCTCAAGCCTGTGCTGTCAGTAACAGAAACTCTTCCGTGTTTCTAATATTCATTATTGAGCATTCTCAAACTGCTGCACATGTACGTAGCCCCGCAAATTCACGTTCTGTTTAGGTCAGCCAGGAAAGGGAAAGGCGGAGAAGCCGTTGTTCATCTGAAAGAGTCAGGAAGAAGGCTGTCTGGATCAGATCCATATTCTAGCTAGCTGAGTGTTCATCCATACGCTGGATGTATGTGGTGAGTCCGTTTCCAAAGAAATCTGATCCAACTAAATCTATGTAAAACTACACATGGCCTATAATTGAACTTCTCTTTGATGAGTCAAGATCTTATACTGCCTTCAGCCATCACCATGAGTGATTTTTAGACACCCCAGAAGCCACATTTAAAAATAAATCTGGTATCAGGTTTTTTTTTTAGCCCTTTATAAGTTTCTCTCTGTCTCTCTTTTTTTAAAGATTGTATTTATTTGAGAGAGAGAGCATGAGCAGGGGCAGAGGAGAGGGAGAAGCAGGCTCCCCGCTGAGCAGGACCCTGAGATCATGACCTGAGCCGAAGGCAGACACCCAACCGACTGAGCCACCCAGGCGCACCTGTAACCTTCTCTTAAAGTAGAATGCTTGCAGCGTTACAATCAGGGGGTTGAGGCCTCTTGAGATCCCTACAAGAGGGAAAGGAAGGGACGCCATTGAAGCTGAGAGGCCACCCAGGGGTCCCCTGAAGAGCCAGGCTGTGCTCGTGGTGCTGGGCCCCAGGAGGACGAGGCCACCTGTGTGCAGTCAGCAGTGTGACCACAGGGACAGGTCTCCCAAAAGCAGAGCCTCGGCTGCTCCAGATTATGTTAGAGACAGGCTTCCTCTTCGTTATCGGAGGGGAGGAGAGGACGAAAAAGGGTTGGTCTCTACCTTACCTTGGCTTGAGGCCCATTTCTCATTTCTTTGTGTTTTTCCTGGATCCCACATGTCAGCTGTACACTGTAGGTATCTAGTAGGTGCCGCGTACTCAGTGGTGAGCCAAACTGAACATGGTGCTTGCTCTCGGGGAGCAAGCACGCAGCCCAAAGAAGAGATGAACGATAGAGAGCTGGAGAGCAAGGAGAATGAAGGGGCATGTTGGCCAGGTGGCCAGAGCGGGCCAGAAGCATAGCCTGCACCCATGCCTTAGGCAGGTTTGGTGTTTCTGAGAAACTGAAAGCACGTCACTGTAATTAAAGCGTAACAAACAGTCTGCAGCAGGAATTGCACCACCTTCCCAAAAGTCATTTTTCGCTCCAGCAAATACAGAAACGTCATGGTCCTGTTGGGCTCCTCTGTGTGTCACCGTCAAGTATTTTATTTTATTTGGGAAGGGGGAGGGGGCAAAGGGAGAGGGAGAGAGAATCTCAAGGAGACTCCACGCCCAGTGCAGAGTCCAGTGCGGGGCTAGCTTCATCTCACGACACTGAGATCGTGACCTGAGCCGAAATCAAGAGCCGGCTCGCTTAACTGACTGAGCCACCCGGGCACCCTAACCGTCAGGTATTTTAGATTTCCCCTGAAAAGCCTTCTCACGATCACAAGGAGTTGGAACGTACATATGGCATTTGTACGTGGTTGATTTGTTCCTTATTCTAGTTAAGACTAGCAGCTCTAGATCCCTTTGATCCTCCCCTGGGAGATTTGGGCAAGCGTTCCTAGTACAATATAGTTTCATCAGCATCCTACAGTGTCTCAAGCACAGATCGTGGTGAACTCTCTCAAGTCTTACCTTAAATTTTTCTATATCTTCTTTATCAACTGGTTTTCATGGATCTCCTTTCCAAATTACCAAGTAGATTTTAAAATACCCACAGTTTCTGGTTGATTACGTTTTATCATAAAAAGCATTTTTCAGGGCGCCTGGGTGGCTCAGTCAGTTAAGTGTCTGCCTTGGGCTCAGGTCATGATCCTGGGGTCCTGGGATCAAGCCCCATGTTGGGCCCCCTGCTCAGCGGGAAGCCTGCTTCTCCCTCTCCCTCTGCCTGCCGCTCCCCACTTGGGCTCTCTTTTTCCTCTCTGTCAAATAAATAAAATTTAAAAAAAGCATTTTTCATCTTTCATAAGTAACAGTCCAAAAACGGGAGAAACCTAGGATCATGTGTTGGAAACGACTTACAAACACCCTGGGTGGTTGGGTCTCTGCATTGAAGATTGTGCTGAGTGTCCCATCACTAGGTTCGTTGGTGGCAGGAAGGAAGGGGGCCTTCCTAGCCTTGGTGTGTGGTTGTGTTCAAAGGACAGCTTGAACTCACGAGGCTTCCCAGTGCTCTCCCTCTTCCATTTTGTCTGCTTTCCATTTTCATGTTAGTGTAGCTCTGCTCCCTCTTTCCTTCGCTCGTCAGTCGAGACTGACAGCCCTGCGGCAGGAAGGCTCACCGTGTCACCGAGCAGCCGGTAAGCCGTGTTCCATGCGGCGCTGTTCCTTGCACCTTACTGCAGGCAGACACCCCGTAGCCCCACACACGGTAGGGGCTCCCTAACTTTCATTCCCTCACTTGTGTTTTCCCATTATCTATCTGCTTCCAAATTCCCTTTTCCCCCCCTTCCTGTCTTTCCTTTTTGGAGCCTCGCTTTCCCCACCCACCCACTCCCGTGACTTTCCTTCTCCTTCTCTGGGGTTCATCCACCCAGCTCTTTTGTATCTCTCCCTTATTTCTCACTCTGCTCATTTTCTTTGCTGCCTTCCCACTATTTTCCTTTTCCCTTGCCTCATCTCCCGGACCTGTGTCTCACCTTCTGTGACGCTAATTGCACCTGGCATTGAATTTTGATCAGTTAACCGACTAACAGCAGCAGACTGCATGTGTACATTGTTTGAACTTAACGGGAGGGACTCTGGCACATCCTGCTTTGCATATGCCCGGGTCCCCAGTGCCTAATGAGGTTCTGGTGTGGACAGGTGGGTGGCTAATACCTTGTGGTGGAATAAAGAAATGAATGGGGGCGCCTGGGTGGCTCAGTCGGTTAAGCATCTGCCTTCGGCTTAGGTCATGAACCCAGGCTCTGGGATCGAGCCCCGCATCGGGCTCCTTGCTCAGTGGGGAGTCTGCTTCTCCCTCTCCCTCTACCTGCCGCTCCCCCTGCTTGTGGTCTCTTGCACGCTGTCAAATAAATAAAATCTTTTAAAAAAAGAAAAGAAATGAACAAACACATTGCTGGTCAGCTTGATGGGGCCTATTATCCATAATTTCTGCCGCAGAAGAAATTTCTGGATCTTGAAGCTTCCAGACTCTATTGAATAGATGAGACTGGATGGATAGACAGATGATGGGTATAGAGGCTCTGTGTTGTTTATCACACGACTGAGTGAGAATCTCTGTGCTGCGGGGGAAAGGAATGCCTTTAGTAAGTCTGGGTTCTGGTCATGACTCGTCCACTGCGGCAGCCTCGCATCACAGAGCTTTAACCTCTCTCAGCATAAGGTCATTGGTTTGAAAGTGAGCTACCTTACCAGAGTATGTGAGAAGAGATGTGTGTAAAAGCAGTGTATGAATTACAAAACACTAGGCACGCAAAGCATCATCATGTTGCCTGTATTAATCATAATACAATTGGGAATTTAAAATTGGGATCTTCACATTACAAATACGTGATTTACTCTTTTTTTTTTAAAGATTTATTTATTTTAGAGAGAGAGAGCGTGTGAGTGGGCGTGCATTAGTATGGGGAGGGGCAGAGAGAGAGGGAGAGAGAAAATCTCAAGCAGACTCCCCGCTGAGCCCCTGACACGGGGCTCGATCTCACCACCCCGAGATCACGACCTGAGCCGAAATCAAGAGTCCAACGCTTGACCAACTGAGCCACCCAGGTGCCCCTGTGATTTACTTCTAAATCCATCTGTTGAAGGAATGTGTCTCATCATCAAATACTAAATGATGGCATGGACTTGAGGCCATACAGAGTAATTTATAGAAAAGCCCCTCGTTATAGGAATTTAGGACTAAAAGTAGACACACACACCAAAAAAAAAAAAAACAGTGAAAATATATATGCACTTGTAATAGCGAATGTTTACACAAATCGACACGATGATTTCCCTTATGCTGATTTTGATTTTTTTGATGGAAAGATGTCATTTATAGTGTTGTATTTTTGATGCAGCTGAGTTGTAGCATGCCCGTCCCCATGAGTTGCTTATCTCACAGTTTCAAAATTCAGAAACTTGAACTTCTTTTGTTTAGTTCACAGATTGTGGGAGAGAATGTACTTACTGCATTCATCAAAGATGTTAATTAAGGTCTTTCCTCATTAATTTTCTTCTTTCTGCAAAACGTTGGCCCGCTCAGAATAGAGAAATCGTTCAAACCCATCTCACTGAATTGAGTCATGGTGAGTGCATCTCACCATGTGTTTCCGACCCTCCCTGGGCTCCTCGGATTGGCAAGTGGACAAGGAGAGGGTTGATCCGGAGCCTCCTTTAATGTTCCCCTCTTCCTGCCTTGGGAAGCCCCCCATCCTGTGCGTCCCTTAAGTACAGTTCTAGCCCTCTTCTCCTCTCATTTCCACAGGCCATGCAGGAGGCGCTGGTGGACCTTCCCGAGTGGTATGGAATAAAAGGCATGCAGGCCCACTGGATCGGAGACTGTGTGGGCTGCCATCTGGACTTCACATTGAAGGTGAACGAGCAAAGCCTCTCCGTTGATTAAAGCTCTCCAATCCCCTTCTGCGGTTTCAGAACTCACCGAGCAAACCAGCAGCAGCATCTCAAACGTTGCTGTAGCCACATTTTTACAGTGCAAAGAAACAGGCGAAATTGATTTTAATAACATATCTTTAACCCACTGTATACCAAAAAATGATCATTTCCCGATGTGGTCAGTAACAAAGGTCTATTAAGGAAACAGCTGACGCTCAGGTTTTCGTACAGAGTCTTTGAAATCTGTGCTCTCTTAACACTTACAGCGACACTGGCCAAGGGTTCCATCACCTCTTACTGCTACTGGCCATCCTGCTGGTCGGCGCGGATAGAGAGGGCTTCTGTGGGTCCGTGAACTCCCTGAGGTGATGTGCGGAGGGTTGTGTGGACATCTTCCTGCACAGTGGGCCCAGAGCTCCGCAGGGTTTGTGTCACAAAGCAGGTTAAAAGCCAGCAAGCCAAGGCTGACACCATCTCAAAACAGGGTGCACCTGAAGCTGGGGAGGGTCATGGGCTTACCCAGGGTTCAGAAGAGCCTACCTGTGTGGAAACACTGCTCAGAGGTCACTGCCGAAGGCCCACCTACTCTGGAAGGTGCCCCCCAACCTTTTCTCTTTGTCCCTGCAGACTGGATAGTTGTTGTTTTGCTGTTTTGCTGTTTCTTACCTGGGTGGGTTCTGGGTTGTTTTGTTTTGTTTTTTAATTCTTCTGGTGTCTCCTTCCAGTCAAGACTTTTGTGCCCTTAGCTCCAAACTCATCCCTCACCTTAGGCCAGACCTTTAGAAGGAGGGGACAGCAGTCAAGAGACAGAGTTGACCTACTTTTCTAGACTTGTACTGACAGCCATCCTGGGGTCTGCTGAGCTCCCGCTCCTTGTCACAGAGCTCACGCTTCCCTGTGCCGTCTCCTCACGAACGCGATCCCCCTCACTCCCAACTGCAGACACGGGAAGGCCCCCATAAGGGAGCGGGGACTTTGAAACCTTTGAAAACCAAATCCTGAAATGACCAAATTCTGTCACCACTTTCCTGAGATGGTGGTGAGATTTCTGAAATTCAGTCCCGCTGCGACTTTGGTTCAGGCTCTTAGGGCTGTCTCGTTTTGGGTCCTGTGCATTAGACTGGGTCGGGTCCCCGTGTCACAAGGCCTTTGCTTCTCAGCCAGGGTGAAGGCTGTGGGTCTCTGAGCAGGTCGACTCCTGTACATGGAATGGCTTCCACATTTTCTCCCTTCCCCAACGTTTTATTATGAAAATGTTTCTGTCTCCGTTCCTGGACCCACCTGAAAATGAGATGTCTCGGGGGAGGGAACACTCTCAGTCCAGCAGCTACAGGACCATATGTGGCTGGGCCTGTGGGGCCCTAAGTCTGGCTCCACAGGGGACCCCTAACCAGCCCTAGGGCCACGCTCAGTCATGGCCTCGGGTGTCCTCTCTTTCCTCTTCAGAACGGTTTTAGCCCCAAGGACTGTTTTTCTGGTTAGAAAAGCAGATGCCTTTATTTTTTTAATATACCTTAAATCCTGGAGGGAAGTATAGCTCCTTTGTCAGGACAGAAACAATATAACATTGATAGTTATTTTTGATTCGTGAACAAAGGAGCCAGGAAAATGGGGGAGGCATCTTTCTGAGCATGCTTTGACCACCTTTGATTTGGGGCCGCCAAGTACACCTGGTGGTGGGCACCACACTGAAAGAGGAATGGTGATCGTCTTCTCTCTCGCCCGTCTCTGCCCCTACCAGGGGCCATCTCAGGGCCCCACATCCCTGGGGCTGCAGCCCGGAACCGTCCCTGGTGTTTGGGCTTGAGGAGGGGAGGGAGGAGGGGATGTGGCCCGGGAGCACGACAGCCCCGGAGGAGCCCTGAGGAATGAAATGGCTCTGCTTTTACCTGCCAGGTGGATGGTCAAGTCACAGGAGAAAAGCTGACCGCCTACACAGCCACCCCCGAGGCCATTTACGGCACCTCCCACGTGGCCATCTCTCCCAGCCACAGACTCTTACATGGGCACAGCTCTCTGAAGGAAACCTTTCGGAAGGCACTCGTTCCTGGCAAAGGTGAGCTGGCGAGTTCTAGTTGGACAATCGAGCAGTTCTCAGGTTCAGTCTCTTCCCATATGTCATCCTGTGTGATTTGTTCTTCGCCTGAGCCTGACTTGTTAGTTTTTTATTTTCAAACAGGATAAATGAGAGCTTTGAAAATGTTGCTACCCCCGGTTTCGCTTTGAGCGACTTGTTTGTCGGCTTCTTGAGTTTCTGAGCGAAAGCTCAACTCTTTCTCTCTAGATACAATCTAGACTTCAAGTTCTTTCTGACAGGAATAGCATCTTCTGCCTAATTTATAATTCCATCGTCAAATAAGACTATCCTGATGATGGCGACAAGGAGGAAGCCAGTGAGAATCAGAGGAAGCATTTTCAAAAACTTCATCGTATTATTTTAGACTTCCCACAGTAATCTGAGCAGCTGAACAGCGTCCTGCTCAGCACAGGCCTTCAGTCAGTGGATCCAGCTGACCTGGAGTGGGCACAGCAGGTGTTACTGGTCAGTGAGGATTTGGGGAGGCCTGTGCATTAGTCAGGACGCTATGGTTGCAAGCAACAGAATGCATTCCCTGGCCAACCCGGAGAACAAAGGGAACCTCCTGGAGGCTGTGGAAAGCTTGCTGACTAGCAGGAACCAGTCTGGAAGACGATCTGGATCAGGCAGCTGTGCGGTTTTGGTGGCAAGAGCTAATAGACAGTCTTTTGAGTGCCACTGACTGAGTGAATCTCAGGGTTTGGGGCACTTGGTCTGAGATTCCTGTTGCAGGGAAACTGTCTGAATGGTATAACTGAGGCCCATGGCCTTTTTCTTGGGCAAGGGAAGGTCAGGCACCTTTCTTGTTAGACCACCAAGACTAGATCCAGTGAGGAGGGGTCGCTTCCTGAAACAAACCCAGAGGCTCTTATTAGAGGAAGGCAGTATGGACCCTGGGCAGGCAAAAGGAAGTCCCCCATCAATTAGAAGTAGGTCTCTGGATGGGGCGCCTGGGTGGCGCAGTTGGTTGAACATCTGCCTCTTGGTTTCTGCTCAGGGTCATGAGATTGAGCCCCACGTTGGGCTCTGTGCTCAGCAGAGTCTGCTTGAGATTCTCTCCCTCCCTCTCTCTTTCTCTCTCAAATAAATAAATAAATCTAAAAAAAGAAGAAGAAGAAGAAGTAGGTCTCTGGAGAAATGTAAATATTTCTATAAAAATCTCATCTTTATTTTCTTTTCACAGACTGTAAATTTCAACCCAAAGAACACAGTCTGAGTTATCGGGGTCTGTTTGAATTATTTGACTAACAAAAATGGTTTGTTTGGTGATATAAAGTGTTTTGGGTTTTTTTTTTAATTGCTATTCTTAAAATAACCAGAATGAAAGGTTTCCTGGTATAAGGCTGGAAAGATAGACGATGTCATCCCAACTTACCTCTGCTAAAGACTTTTTTTTTTACTTATTTGACAGAGAGAGAGAGAGCACAAGCAGAGGGAGAAGCAGGCAGAGGGAGAGGGAGAAACAGACTCCCCACGGAGCAGGGAGCCCGATGCAGGGCTCGACCCCAGGACCCTGGGATCACAAGTGCCCTGAGACTTTTTCTTTTTTTTTGAGATTTTATTTATTTTGGGGCGCCTGGGTGGCTGAGTCATAAGCATCTGCCTTTGGCTCAGGTCATGATCCCAGGGTCCTGGGATTGAGCCCTGAATTGGGCTCCTTGCTCCACGGGAAGCCTGCCTCCTTGTGTTCCTGCTCTCTCTATCTCTCTCTGTGTCAAAAAAATAAATAAATAAAATCTTTTAAAAAAAAAGATTTTATTTATTTATTTGAAAGAGAGAGAGTGAGAGAGAGCACAAGCGAGGGAAGGGGCAGAGGGAGAAGGAGAAGGAGGCTCTCCACTGACCAGGGATCCCAATGCGGGGCTTGCTCCCAGGACCCTAGAATCATGACCTGAGCCAAAGGCAGACGCTTAACCAACTGAGCCACCCAGGTGCCCCTCTGCTGAAGACTTTTAATTGCTTACTTCCAGCATTGAAGCAAGGTTCAAATCAATGAGCACTTAGGAAGAGCCTGCTGGTGCTAAGCGCTCGGGGACACACAGAGGACCAGTCCCCCGTCCTGCCCCCAGGGGGGCCATGACAAAGGAGAGCCAGACACGTGTGTGATTCACTCTGGCCCAAAACAGATACCACTTGCTGTCATCTCCTGTTGTTATGTATTGAAACAGAAAAAAGACATGTGTTAAAATTTCAGTGTTGTGCTCATAAAGTCCAGTGTAGCTATCTGTTTTATTTTCCACTTACTCAAAAGAAGAACTGGATTCTTTTCAACTGTTTAGTTGAAAGGGAATACTCATAGTTTTTACTCTCATGAGCATTTTGGGATTCCTTGTGGGCTGTGATGGTTGAAGAATATCTAAAATCGAAAAACTAAAAAAATGTAAACATCTAGCCCTTAGATTTTGTTTTCTTACAGTTAATCTGGGGACACAAATTAAAATGAGGTAATATTAACAGGGGCTTCATGAGACCGTACATTATGAAAGATGGAGCTCCTGACATGAAAGGCACTGGATAGATTCCAAATATTTTGATATGTAAGAAATTAAATTATTTTAGCAAATGCAAAGAGTGATGTTTTCATGATCATTTGGGGCATTGGCACCTCTGACTTGTCCCATCATTTCATTTTAGCGCTGAATGGCTGGCTAGCTTTATTCTCACCTCTTTTTAATAATCTCTGAAATAATTCCAAGTGGAACATTACACCTGGCTCTGTATTTTCCACTTCTAATTTTCAGAGTAGAAATATTCTTTTTGCAGATGTCAACTTATTCAAAGTCTCAAGATTAATTTGCACGTCAAGTCTCTGGATTTTGACATGTGGCATTAGTTATGGAAGGCCAGTATGGTGCCTTGAGTGTAATGTAGTTTTTCTAAAAATCAAATGAAAATCATCCTATGATTATGGATATATGCCTTCTTTGGCCTTGGAGGTTACACTTTAAACCTGAGCGTTGTATTGCTGTTGTCATTTATCATTGCCGACTGGCTCCAGTCAGACGGGCAGCTTGATTTTTTTCCTCCAGTGTCAGGTTTTGAGGGTGACTAGTGACCGCTGAAAGCCAGGGATGTGATGGAATGTATCACTTGCAGGAGGTTAAATTCTCAAACATGGGTTCCTACAGCCACTAAGTTGGTTTCTGCATATCAGCTCCCGCGTGGGCACAAGATGGCCAAGGTTCTGGTCCCAGAGCCATCCTGTGACTTAAGGAAGGTCACTTCACCGTTGTGAGTTTGGCCTTCCCAGCCAAGTGGGCGGGGTGGTTGTGGGGGGCCCTGCGGGGACAGAAGGGGCCCTGAGTAGCTCAGAGGAAGACGGTGACACCTGCGGATAGGGGCTCATGCTTGGCAGAGGTCAGGCAGGAGGACCAGCAAACCATGGGTTAAGAGACAGTGACGATAGAAGAACAGTGCTTGTCAGAGTGGAGGGGCCAGAGCAGCTCCCAGACGTTTCTGGAAGGCAGCAAGGGCAGAGGCTCCAGGGACGCTGCCCTGATTTCTGGCTGGGCCGACTGGGTTGCTGATGTTATTGACTAGAAGCACTGTGTTTTGCTCAGCCCCCTGTAATTTGGCATAGATTCCTTTAAGAGAGCAAAAAGTCAGGTGCTTCCCCATAGAGTTCTGCAAACTGAGTTTAATTTCTATCATTCACGTTGCCTCCTTCTCTCAGCTGACCGCCTCTGACTTAAGTCGTGTTATGTAAGCTCTGACTTGATGGGAGCTAGAAACCATAAAAAGCATCAATAGGGAAATATCATCGGAGTTCTAGAAGCTGTTCTGTCTTTTTCCTGGCGTCTTTTCTTCCATTTCTAATATTAAAATAATATTCAAACCCTGAGGCTTTGGAACCACACATTTCGGCTCTGAGTCACCAGCGGTCTCCACAGGACGTTTATTGCCGAAAGGGTAAGTGAGGTCTCCCTAAAGGGAACCTCAGAACCCCATTGTTACTGCCACATCAGAGAGCCTCGTCTCCCCAGGAGCCCCGGAGCATTAAATAATTAATTGCTTACTCCTGTCCGCCCCCTTTCTGCTCTGTATGTGTGTGGGGATGGGATCCTATAGGTTATAGTCTGTTCTTTAATCAAACTGTTCCCTCTGCCATCCTTCCAGCACATGCTAATAGATGTTATGTGGAGGGAGGGGCCTCTGCGCTCCCATAACCTGGATAAACAAAGACGAACAGGTTTCTGTGCTCCTGGACTTCTCACAAACTTTGCCGCGCCATTGCGCACTGTGACTGTGTCCGAGAGCAGGTCACATGACACTTCCCACACTCCCTTGACCACACAACCCTGGTCCCACAGAGTATCCCTGCGAGGATCACTGCTTTGCTGATCACTGAACAAAAGCCACCTGTTTGTTTTTTCCAGAAGGCACGAAAGACAGGCCTGCTCTGCAGTGGGGCCCCGAGGGCAGAGGGCACCTTTGGGCCCAGAGCAAGGAGAGCAGCAGAGGGAGAGGGAGAAGCAGGCTCCCCACTGAGCAAGGAGCCCGATGCGGGACCCGATCCCAGGACCCTGGGATCACGACCTGAGCCGAAGGCAGACACTTAACCGACTGAGCCACCCAGGCGCCCCCAGTATATCTGAAGAATTATGCACAGTTTTAGGACATTTTTGTCACCCCCAAAGAGATCCCATATCCTATCCCCACTGTTTCCCCCAGCCCTAGGCAGCCACTGGTCTGCTTTGTCCATAGATTTGCCAGTTCTGGACATTTCATATAAATGGAATCATGCAGTATTTTGTCCTTTTGTAACTGGCTTCTTTGACTTAGTATAATGTTCTCAAGGCTCATCCATGTTGTAGCCTGTGTGAGTACTTTATTCCCTTTTATTTCAGAATAATATTGTGCATTTTGTTCATCCATTCATCAGTTGATGGACATTCTAGCTACTTTCTTGCTACTCTGAGTGGTGCGGCTGTGAACATAAGTACAGATTTCTGTGTGGACATATGCTTTCATTTCCTCAC